CTGAAAGGAATGCCCTTGAGCATATAGTGAAATTTTGACAGTGTTTAACCAGGCCAAGAGCTAAAATCTTGTCCTTTGATGCTGAATGATCTGCAAAAAGTATGGAGACCCTGGAGGTCAGAGCTGAGCTCGTTGTCATTTTGGTGGAGTTCTTGAGCTTTGCTGTTCATGCACTGTGCTTATCAGGAGTTTAAATTCACATTGCAAAGATACCTATGAGTTTCTCCATCTGATGGAGGCAAGGTGAAATGATTTTGTGCAGTTTATAACATGGGTTAGCAGGAGACTTGGGGATAAAATTGAAATTTCTGCCTTCCATTTTTACGTGGATTATGAGTACATAGTTTTTTATCTGATTTATTTTGTAGATATGCTTTTGTTAGGTTTTTAGGGGTTTGGTTTTTCAATTTACCATTCTAAGGAAATGTAGTAATTGCTCTTTAAAAGAGTGTCCAATGGGATTTTTTGATGCTCCTCATGCTTATGCAGTAGCTGGTTGCTTTGAAGTCCTATTTCCACAGCTGTACTGGTACTGTATATGGTCTGTGTGCTGACTAGCTCAAGTGTCTAGACAGTTGGGTCTGCTTATAAGTGATATTTTTCTTATAGATGCATTCTTTTGCAGAATTATTTTATATTTAACTTCAGAGCCCATAAATGGAGTCAGTTATGTGGAAAAATATTTTGAATTTTTAATCCAACTTCTGAGAACAAGGATACGTAGTACATTTTGATTGATTGGGTGTGTTACATTTTCAGAAATAATTATTTCTCTGCCAAAATTTACCATAGGCTTTTCCTTAACTTCTATATTGCACGTACAGCATATAAACAGTTAAGCTTTCCATGCAGAATTCACAACAGATCCATTGACAAGTATGCTTATCATATGTACAGTTTGTTATTGCAGGTAATTCCTTGTAACTGTCATGCTTTTCTAATGCACCAGTACTGAGATATTTGCCCCAAACCTGTTTAGTTATTTTCTGCATAGCAGTATTCTCTCATAAACTGCTGCAGAAGTCTGTATCCTGTAGAAGTCATTGACAGAATTGGTGCTTGGTTTTTTAAGCTACATTTCTTCTTAAGAACAGTCTGTGAAACTTGAGGAATTATAAGTGAAGTCTCCTAATGAGGATGATTTGTACCACACAACCCTTCAGACACCAGATTTAATAGTTGTGTTGTTTGGAAGAGTGTTTCAGCCAGTGCTGTGCATGATAACTCTGAATGTGAAGTCTTCTGCTGTATTGCTTATGAATTGAGGAAAGAATTCCTGATAAAGACAAAAGATATTTATTGGTTATAATTAAATAGCACATAATCTTGTCAAACACATATATATTGTTAGGAAATGTCTGTTGAATGAATTTCACAAAAGTACTTTAGGAAAAATATTTTACATAGAACCTATAGCTCTTTAACATCCTGTCACATATACATTATAGAAATTGCACACTACTGCAGCATGAGCCTTTGTGTCTGATTCATGGCTTTACAATTACACATTTTTTTCCCAGAAATATTGCCTTGATGCTGTTACTTGTGCAGTAGCTTCCTTCCTCTGCCTGATAATCCTGGGAGGGACTTCTTTTGTTTTTAAAATTGTTATTTGCTCTAGTACATGCAGAGGAGCAGAATCAGTCAGTTGGAGTAGTTTGGTGATTTTGCAGATACAAAGAAACCCAAAAACTTTCATGCTGTATGATAATAAAAGGCAGGTTTATGACCATGTAATCTTTTATCTTAGCAGGACAGGGTGTATTAGAAGAAAAAGAATATCTTGTATATATGCCATTTTGTTCTTTAAAGAGATCCTATAATTCTGAAATAAGTGCATTTGTTGTCATGGTTTTTACAAATAGTGAAGTGGAATTAGAGGATCCTATAAAGTTGTGCTCTCCATTTTGATAGCTGAGTGCAGCTGGCTTGAGTGGGAAAAGCTGTACTGCTCACAGTCTCTTCTAAGTTAGTGAGAACCCATTTCTGATAGGAACTGCAGGAGAACTGTCTTCAGGGACTGGTTGCCGTGGAGCAGATGTGTGTGCATGAAGGACATTCATTGATACAGCCTTTGTGGCCAAAAAATACATTTTCATGATTATTATATTCTGCCAGAGGTCTTGCTGATCTTGTTCCTGGAGAAAAAAAGATAATAGTGAAGGTCTGTATTTGTGTGTGAACATGTGCAGATGAGTTCTAATTTTACTCTCTTACAGACGGTGAACCAGTACCTGCTGATGGAAAAATTATGTTCAGGAAACCAGCTAAACGTTCATCAGAGAAGCATTTGGACTTCAATGTAAGTTCAAGTAAGAAGATGAAAGAGGCAAAGAAAACTAAGACAGAAGCTCCTCCTCCTCAGAGTACAGCTAAGCAAAAAAAAAATAGCAGTCTTCTCTCATTTGACGATGAGGAAAATGATGATTAGGAGTTGTATTTTTTTATGTCTGTCTTACCCTTCTAGGGATCTGAGTAAGATTGAGTGTTTTCTTAGAAACTGAAGCATGGTATCGGACTCTTCTCTTAGTTTGTTATAGTCCAACTAGAGAAACATCATATAAAACTAGCAAGAGCTAAGTCTTTGCAGTTCAGCTGGAACTGTATGGACCGTATATCATGTCTTTATTTTAAAAGAGAATTTAACCATGTATGTAAAAGCTATTTGGAGCCACAAATGAGTAGCAGAATATACCTGTACATATCCAGCTTATACAAATTTCAATCAATACATTTTAAAATGTCCTCCATTACTAAAAATGTATTTCCTCTCTGTTTACTGGCCTTAGTTGACATTTGTGTGTTTTTTACCTGTTACTGTTGACTTGACATTCAAAAGAGAGTGAGTCTTCATTGCTGTGGAACAGAGACTGAAGTTTTCTCTCTCACAGCTTAATAGAAGTTTGCACAAACTTCTGCATGTGTGGTTTGGCAGACTGTGCACTTTGGTTATCACATGTATAGGCTCAGTGGTTTGGTGGTGTTTTGTTTTGTTTGTTTAAAAAAAAAAGTATATTTGTTCCAGTTGGCTACATATGTGTTCATAATTATTTGGGATCTCAAAGAGCTTATTAAAAAAAAAAAAAATTTTCATCTTTAAGCTGTGGAAAAGCATTATTTTGGTTTTATTCAAGTAGGAAATTGTAAACAGGAAATTTAAGTCAAGAAATGTTATAGCTGTGATAAAGTTTTAAAATGTTTCAGTTGCCCATGTACAGTACACTGCAAGTGACCATTTCTGTACCATTTGTGTAACAGGATGTGCTGAAATTCAAAATAATGCCAAGAGCTGATGGAATTGTGGAGATGAAGGTAGAGGAAATGGGACTAGAGACTTTGAAATTTTTTGGTGTGTTCTGTAATCATATGTAAGCAAGACCTGAGACTGCTGCAGAATTACAGGGTACAAGACAATGAAACCAGTTCTGCTGTGTGACAGGACATTGAAAATTATTTGGGCTGTAAAGCTTCATTGAGGAGCAAATTTGAAGTTTCTGTGTGAAACAGCTGGTTTTTGTTTGTTAATCTGGTATTAAACAGTAAATTATCTTTTTCTATAAGTGGTCCAAATATATTTTAATGAAAATTTCAGTGCCTAAAATGGGATTTTTTTGTAACCTGATAATGAAGCCTCTTATGACTGATGCCTGTCTCTGGACGTACCAACTTCCTGCAACATAAGATAAGATGCAAGTCTGCGTACTATTTCACACTAATTGTGTGAGTGCATATTACTGTGATTTTGAGAATGAATAGGTGTGTTGTCCTTTCAGAAAATTAAAACCAGGCCTATAAATCAAGTTTAAAGTCCTGTTGTAGCACTGGTCTGATATTAGAACTGCCAGAGAGGTGCAATGTGACAACCTGATTATTCCCATGAGGACATGTAACATTTGTAAATACATAGTTTGTCTGTATTCTGCATATATAAAAAAGAAAATCATAGAATCATAGAATGGTTTGGATTGGAAGGGACCTTAAAGATCATCCAGTTCCAATCCCCCTGCCATCAGCAGGGACACCTTCCACTAGACCAGGTTGCTCAAAGCCTCATCCAGCCTGGCCTTGAACACTTCCAGGGAAATCAAACGTAGGAAGAAGAAATACAGAATCTCCCAGGGATGAATCTTTCTGTTTATTTTGTATACTTAAAAACTTGTTTGAATCCATTAAAAATATATATATATATATATACACACACACGAGAAATCTTGTAGCATTACAGTATACTGAAGGAATATCTGGGGATATTTCAACAACTGAGTAAATACTCTGATTTGCTGAGACTCATCTGAAGGCGTGAATTAACCATTGACTACTTACTTAAACTTTTCTGGTTCTGTTTGTCAGCACAAAAATATCCTTGCTTCCTTTTTTACTTGCACAGCTTGAAAGTTCTTCACTTTAGCTGTGAGGCAATTTATGAGACATGGTTATCAAGAGATAAATGCTTGCCAAGGATCAGAGGGAATTTGGATTTACCTTAAAATTGGAGAGGGCCTCCCAAATATGCAGCTGATTTGGCATGTTCAAAATAAGATCGAGGTCTTGTTTGAATCTGGTTAGTAATTGTATTTAAACAAAAAATACTATTTCTAGAGAAAGACTTGTGAGACTGAAGTCCGGTAAAAAGAGGGTTAGCTCAAAATACTGGGTGCAGTACTTTTGCATAATCATGTTCCTTGCCCTACAACTTCATAACAGATGTCTGGAATGCAAATAAATTAATTGGGTTTACTTGGAAATAATATAATGAAAGGCATGTTGTTCTTCAGGCAACACAGCAGGGGAAAGAAAGGTAGATATGGAAACCCAGCTTCTTCCCTTTATTCTGACTGATTTGTAGTGCTCTGACCAGGAGGAGGCCTTTGTATTCATTGTATTTCACTCCCAGTTCACCTCACAATAACTAATTGGATATATTTATTAAGAGGTGTGAGTGATGCACAAAAGCATTTTAGTCAAGTAGTCATGTGAAAATTCAGTGTTCCCAATGTGACACACCAGGAAAATTACACACGCCATCAACTCCCCATGAAACCTGTGACTAAAGAGAACAATTACTTGTTCATTTAGGAAAGAAATGTGAACCTGTCTTTAACAATCACCTCCCTTAAGCAATGGGTCATGGAAAAATAATAATCGCAAGAACTTTCTAATAAAGAGGAAGCCAAAGTGAGCGTGTGGAACATGGTGCTAGGACTGGAATGGAGAATTTTCCTGGCGTTTTCTTTCTCTCCTCTTCCCCCCTGCCCCTATCCCCAGTCCTTTTGTCCTCCTGTAGTATATGTATATGTTGTTGTTTTTTTTTCTTGTGGAGCTTGGTCAGCTAAGCATGAGAGAAGTGCTGTGGGAGGAGCAAAGTGAAAGTAGCTGTGGCCTGCTACCTAATAAGGGAATCTTTTACAGTTTTTATTAATAAAATCTTTGAAATTTCCTAGTTCATTAAGACTCCAAAACATTTATTGATGGTGGTGTTAATTCT